AAGAGGAAGAAGGAAGAAAGGGAAGGAGAAGAAGGGAGGAGAACCCACCTCCCAGCACCATGTGGATCTCACACTCAAAGTGGTCAGTTTGGCAGCACTTCCCTATTGCACTTCTTCATCCATTGCTTGTTCCCACTGCTCCTGTTTTTATTGAGTGCTGGGTGCTGCACCTGTGGTGCTCAAGATGATCAATGTCTTCTTTTTAATTCTTCCAGCCTCCAAGAAAGGATAAGCTCGCTTGGCTTGTCACTTAAGGAAATCACAGCTAAGGTATGTGCCTTTATACCCTCATTTTACCGGTATGACCTGAACATTTCCTTTTGATAATTTCATACCTGAACCACTGAACACTCAAACCCTGGATGAGATATTGACTTTGTAAGGCCCTTTGGATCACTATTGTGTCAGCTGGGATCATCCAGAAAGGGAATGGCTTGGCCTTTGCTTCAGAAAGAGCTGTGAGTTTTCAGAAATGAGAAGGGGCTATTGCACGATTGATTGCCTTTGTGTAAGAAGATTTTCAGATTGGTGTAATTATAAGAAAGTAATTACTTTTCTTCCTAGGAGAACAGATTTCTAATTCTTCACAAACAGGAAAGTGTAGTGAATTCTCATCTTTGCTTCTTGTTTTTAAATTGGCTTGAAACATTGCCTGTTTTGTCTCATTCATACTTCCACAGCAGAACCCTGTTTTGTGTAGAGAAAGAGTACTTCTTTATTATTCTCTAAGAAAACATAGCCAGTGAAATGATATTGTCAATGTACTGGCTAGTTAGGATAACCTTGGCTAATCTGAGGTATTGCATCTGGACCTAATTTTTTGGCAGAGGATAGCCTGTGTCAGTTAATCTGAGGTATTGTACCTGGACCTAGTTTTTTTGCATGAATAATTAACATTAGACTGTGGAACCTAGGTTCCAAGAAGAGATGGTCAACATGTATAAAGAACAATTTGATGACCAGAAAGTAAAGCCATTGAGTGTCTAATGGCCATGTTACCCAGTTCAAGGACACATGCCATGTATCTGCGTGTTGTCACAGCTGAAATTGGGGATGTATTGGTGGCCTAATGGTTTGGGAATTGTACTGTTACCCATGGGCAGGCAGGTACAATTCAGTAGCTTCTGTGAGAGGATAATGATGGGAAATATATTTTTGTACCATTTATAGCCTTTGAGAGCCCTCTGGAGGGTCAGCAATGAATGGGTTCTGACTCAGCAGCAATGAGGCATAAATACAGGCTGGATGAGACATGAGAATTATGACTGGTGTTACTCAATTTTCCAGTGACATTCTCAGATGGATGAGATGGCAGAGAAAGGGAGAGAGGGAGAGCAGGAGAGAGGAAGAGGGAGAGGGAGAGACAGAGAGAGAGAGAGAGAGAGAGAGGGAAGGGAAGAGAGAGAGGGAATAAAAAGAGGGAGAAGGAGAGAGAGGGGAAAGGAAGGAGGGAAGGAGAAAGAAAGAAGGAAGGAGGAAGGAGTGAGATAGTGAGTGAGTGAGTTTTAAAAATATCATTTAAGTCTATTTTTTTTTTTTACTGGTTTGCTTACAAAGTTTGTATACATTGTGTTTCACATTAGTCTTCATTCACATTGTGTTTCATACAATCATTCCTGTGCTTTATGTTTTATAATATTGATTACCATTGAACCTTGCCCATCATTACCCTGTCTTTCCACCTGGGTACTTCCCATTTACTTCCCCCCCTCCACCCACAAAATTGTGTAACCCTGTGGTTTTGCCCCTACCCCTCATCCTCAGCCCTCCCCCCCCCTTGAGTTTCCATACACGTTGATGATATGTAACAAAAAACAATGGCGAAAACGATAGTAATGCCCTCTAGACTTTCCCATGTTGTCCAATATTTCATGACTACTTCATTGTTATTTAGTGTTACATAGTATTCCATTGTGTGACTATACCACAGTTTTTCTATTTGTTTGTTGGTAGTCTTTTGGGTTGTTTCTGTTTTCTTGCTATTGTGAATAATGTTGCTATGAACATCGGTGTATAAATCTCTGTGTCTCAGTTCTCTTTTCTTTGGGGTACATTGCTAGCCATTCAGTAGCTAGGTCATACGGGATTTGTATGTTCAGCACTTTGAGGAAATGCCGAACTACCTTCCAGAGTTGATTGTACCATTTTACAATCCCATGAATAGTGTATGAGAGTTCCTATCTCCACATCTTTTTTTTTTTTTTCAATCTCCACAACTTCTGCAACATTTATTGTTTTCTGTCCTGTTAAACTTGGCTACTACTATTGAGGTGAGATGGTATCTCACTGTGGCTTTAATTTGCATCTCTGTTACTGTCTGTGATTTTGAACATTTCTGCAGGTTCAAATACCTCCTTTGTGAAAAGTCTTTCCATGTCTTTTTCCCCATTTCATTATTGGGTTATCAATCTTTTTCTTGTGGAGGCCCTGTAATATTCTGTAAACTTATGAGACCCGTGTCTGAAATGTAATTGCCAAATGTATTTTCCCAGTCTGTGGGCTTTCTTTTCACCCTACTGGAGAAAGTTTTTTCTGCACACAAGTATTTGATTTTTAGACGTTCCCATTCCTCAGTTTTATCCTCCCTTGGCACTGCATCTTTTTGGGCTATATTTGCAAGACTATTTATACTAGGGTTTCTAAGTTTTTCTCATTTTGTCTCTTGTCATCTTTATGGTTTTAGGTTTTACCTCTAGATCTGATCTAACTTGAATTGGTTTTTGTGTATGCTGTGAGTTGTGGATCCTATTTCTGTTTTCTGCAGGCAGATGTCCACTTTTGCCAGCACCATTTGTTGATGAGGTTATAGTTTCTCCATTTAATAGGTTTTATTTACTTGTCATATATCAAGTATTGGTAGTTTAGTTGAGGTCTTGATTTTATTCCATTGGTCTATGTGTCTGTGACCATGCTGTTTTTGTTACTATAACTGTATAATAGGTTTTGAGATCCGAGAGTGCTACACTTCCCATTTAATTTTGATTTCTCAGAAGAGTTTTCCTTATTTGAGGTTTTGCTTATTTTCTTTCCAAATAAAAACTGTAAATTGCATTTTTCTTTGATAGGAATAGAAAATTTATAGTTATAGGTTTCACAATGTGAGGTTTTCCTATCTATGAACAGGGAATATTTTTTCCATTTAGTGAGGTACCTTGTTTTCTATTACTGTTGTTGCATATTCTTAAGTCGAAAGTGACCCATAGCTGACCCTCTTGCAGATTTTTGGAGGCAGTAAATCACACAGAAGGAGATTGCCCATCTTTCTCTGGTGGAGCAGTTGGTAGATTTGAACTGCATGCATTTAGGATTGCAGCATAGCCTCTTATCTTTATGCCACCAGAATCTGTTAACCTTCATTTTATGTAATTTGCAGGTCTGTTGTTTGGTGGGTAGATGTTTACCAGGGATATGTCCTTTTGTTGTTTTGTCCCTTTTATCATTAAATAGTGCATTTCCTTATTTCTCATGATAGTTTTAACTCTGAAGTCTATTTTATCAGAAGTTAGTGTTACCACTTCTGCTTTCTTATGCGTACCATTTGTTTGATATATTTTTTTTCTGACCTTTAGTCTGTCTTTCTCTTTGTTTCTTAGATGTGCCTCTTGTAGACAACATATTGACAGGCTTTGGTTTTTTTGCTTGTTTGTTTTTTTAGTCCATTCTGCTACTTTTTCTTTCTTAATCTATTTATTTAAGTAATTGAGTGTAATTATTGACAGACTAGATTATATCGTTCCCATTTTGCTGCATTTTTTTTCAGTTGTTTCTAGTTACTTTGGTCCATCCATTTCTTTTCACTGTCTCTGTGTTAAGGGCTTCCTTTAGTATTTCTTGTAGTGTTGGTCATGTTTTCACACATTCCTTAAATTCCTGCTTTTCTGCAAATTACCTGACTTCTCCTCCATATTTAATGGACAGCTTTTCTGGCTACAGGATCCTTGGCTGGTGTTTTCTTTCAGCCTTCTGTATATCCCATCCTCTTGTCTTCTTGCTTGCATGGTTTCTGCTGAGAAGTCAAAGCTCAGTCTAATTGTTTCTCTTTTGTAGGTTACTATTTTCCTCACACTACTTTTAATTTCTATCCTTGTTTTTGATTTTGAAGAACTTGACTATGATATAACTTGATGGGTTTTGTTTGGAGTCTAACCTGTTTGGAGTTTGTTGAGCTTCTTAAATGTGAATTTCCTTGTTTATCATGATGTCTATGAAGTTTTATTTTGATACCCTTTCCACGGTGCTTCCCTTCCCTGCCTTGGTCTGGAATTCCAATTCAGATATATTTTGTTTTGTGTGATGTCATCCCACACAATTCTTACATTATCTTAATTTTCTTTCCACCTTCTCTCTGTTTTTTCCTTTTGTAAATTTCTCATTTAGGCTCTTGTATCTCACTGATTCTCTTTGCTACACTGCTTTTTAGTCCTTCCAATCTATTAAAAATAGCCACAATATTGGTCCTGATAATCTGAATTATATTTTAAAGTTTTTCTGTTGTTTTTAGTGCTGTGTTGGTTATAGTCTGTCTTGTAATGCCTTTTTAATTTATTGTTGCTCTTTACTTATGGTTTCAAGTCTGTCTCTGCATTTGCAACTTCTCCAGTTTCTAGGACTTCTGTGTTGAAATATTTCTTTTGCTTTTTTATCTCTGTGTTTCTTTTGGGTCATTAATCTGGTTTGGATTTTTAGCAGAAGGCTTGCTTCCCCATCCCCCCAATAATGTTTGAATCTGACTACTGCTTCCTTGACATTATGTGAGGTTCTTTTTGATATGTGTGAGGCAGGTTCTAGTGTGTCTGTGTAGAAAGCTTTCCAATCCTTTTCTTTATGATACTGTTGCAGAATTTAAGTTTTGTACCTGCTTCACTTTCCACACATCAGTCTTCTGTGCTGGTTGTGCCTCTATTCCCTGTTCAAGTATGGCCTGTGAGGTACTTCCCTAGCTGCTGGCTTGTCCTGATGATCGACAAGGCACTTCTCTCTCTGCTGCTATCCCTGGTGGTGAACTGATGGGTGGTGATGGGGATGTCACACTGGTCTCTGGAGGTGGGTGGACTCACGTGTGGACCAAAAGACATTTCCCTCACTGCTGGCTAATTCTGCTATGTGCTACTCCCCTCTCTGCTGGCAAGAGGCAGAGCTGACTCCTGGGTGGCAGTCAGGGCTTTCCCCACTCTGCTAGCTAGTCCCCAGTGGCATTTCCTCTTTTTTCTCTAGAGTAAATAGATGCCACTTATGTTTTATCAGGGAGCTCTGGTGGTGTAGTCTGTAGG